AAATCAAATTGCATGAAAGGTCGCTGAACAATAACCTTGAAGAGCAAGTGAGTAACGTAAGTAAGCCACCTGCCTTTTTTTTCTTTCTACCAAAATTTGATTTCCTCTTAAAACCTATTGTTACATTGCTGAGACAATCTAATAAACCAATGCACTAAGTGCTTTTACCTACTGCCTTATGACTCTGTACAGGTCTACGGTAACCCCGTACACTTTTGGGCATTCTACGAATGTTATTGATTTTAGTGTAATACCTCAAAATAGGCTGTCCCATTCCTGAACAAAACAAGTTATACACGACTAACTAATAATAGTCTTTGTATGGTTAAAAGGGGTAAAAACTCAAATTTTTGCTGAATTCGCTTGAATTTTTCAAAACGACTCGTTCCCATGGATACGGGCACCCTGGGGGTCTTCAGATAATCTGTATATGGCTGAAATCATTCGCCCTACCTATATTGTCAATAATAATCAACATTAACAATAGGGTGTTAGAGATTAAAATGATACAAATTAAGCCATTTTACAGTAAAAACAGTAAAAAAAGACCCTCCCCCTTCAGAAAACATGCGGGGAAATGCTGAAAATCGATTTTCTGGGCCTCAAATCATTATATTTCTTCGACATAAAGGTCATAGAAGACATGGGTTCTTTTGATTTCAAGTCATGACCCAAAAATATTATCATTCCTGCCCACCCCTAATCATACACTAATGATACACGACCAAGAAACTAAAATCATCACCTACGTTGAACATTTTCTTAGATTTCTAAGGAAACATATCTATTGTCTAATAGTAGTTGGATAACCTGACCCTCGCTAATGACGCGCATACTAACGACCTCAAAGTCACCGTCACAGTACCTTCTGAGGGAACCGTTTTCAGCCGCTATACTTACAAAGTGTCACGCGCGGTGAATACTCGGTTAATTACTTACAAAGCCCTGCTAAACCTGACCTAGTTCCACAGTCCCACTTCTAGCAGCAGGTAAGTGGGAGTGCCAATCTTTTATAATTGTATCAAATTAAACTTCTGACCTCATGTGGGCCCGCTCAATTAGGGTTACTAAATGCTCAATCCCCACCTCGAACTAGACACAAATTTCTTATTTCTGTCTGGGTTGTAATTACTATATTTTGCTGAATGGATGACTTAACCCTGTTTGATTTAATAAATTTCCCCCTGAATGGTGATAGACAGCATGTGCTCCTTCATAAATACAGCCGTACTGAGAAACATTTCTTACCTCGGTCTTTCAAACAACACAACAATGTGTTAATAATTTAATATATTTAACTTACTGTATACTTATTTAATTTGTTTTATTCTTGCCATTTACTGTATTGACAATGAAAACATGCACCAAAGATAATATAATACTGAATGACCTAAGTCGAGCTAAATAGAAAAGGGAAAAAACAAAAGTAAGATATACACAAGCAAGATATGAGCTGGAGGGGCTGTGATGAAAGTTAGTGGACCCGCCACAAACCAGCATTGAAAATAAACAACGAGTTGTAACAGCAGTCATTGAAGCCTGAAAAGTGAAAAGGACCCGATCTCCAGTAGGTCCACAATTAATTGGGTGCCTGATGCGGCACGCCTTAAACATCAAACACAAGAAAAACAAGGTCAATCAAAAAAAGCAGTGCTCACAAAAATTAGCTCCGCAACGAGCCTGTACTCTCTATGAGCCTGTACTGCAAGCAGCTGTACTGCAGAGTGTGTATATACAGCTCAGTCAAACCGTACAACACACTACATGCTACTACGTGCTACCACTTAATTATGTACTGTGCATTGATCTTCACTATCCAGATACTATCATGTATTGTATCTAGATGGCAGGCTGCCAAAATTAGAGTCATTGTCAGTTGTACTCATGCCAACTTGCCTTATCACGTGATATCATTAAATGATACACGACAACGGAAAACAGAGCGGAGCAGCAGATGTGGCGCCGGATGAAAGTAGCTGGCGGCTGTGAGCGGGGCAGTATCTACATGACAGGGTACACGCTCCCGACTAAAACCTTCCCTTCTCTCAGACTAGTATAAAAGAGTGTGAAGTGGGCGGTTGGTTAATGTTCTGGTGGAGTGTAAGGCGCGGATAGGACACCACACGAGATGAAGGACATGCAGGGATATTACTGGGATATTATGCGTACCTTGCACAAAGGCAGAGTGCTGGTGGGGGACCTCAGATGTGGCAATGCATGCTAGTAGAGGTGGGGTTCAACTAGCCACCCTGCCAACACACAGACACCCTGCTAGTAGCGGGGAGGGAAGAGAGAGACACCACGGGTCCCTCCTCCTCTACTGAAATTACCAGCACAGCTTGTAGCCCCGGACACATGTGTTACTCTGGGACACAAAGGGACAGGCGGTGGTTATTGCGGCTAGTGGGGGGGGGGGGGGGGGGGGCTAGTTCTCCATTAGTCGGACCTCAAATAGACTCTAGTGGGGGGGGGGGGGGACTCTTCTTCAGATCCAGACACGAGGGCATGTTCAGAGCCTTGAAGAGGCCGGTGTTAATAGTGTGTTCTTATTAAGCATTGTGTCTCAAGCAGTGACATAGCAAATACAGGTACTGTAATGCAGTATTTACAATGCAGTGTTTAGAATACAGTGTTTATAATAACATAAACCCGCCACGCAAAGGGTTTATATAACAGATCATCCCGCGCTAGCGGGATGATCTGATAAACACATACGAGTGCGCGCAGCGCACGAGTTTTGTGTTAATATGTAATCCCGAAGCGCCAGCTGAGGGATTACATTTATTTAGCCCTGAGCGTGAAGTGTTTATGGATTATAATTATCTCTGGCGATTTCGACAAGGGATTTATACTTTAGAAGAGAGTGAGTGTCATAGTGGAGCAATAGCTTGAACGTTAGCAGGAACAAGAGCTGGAAGGAGAGCAAGCAAAACAATACTATTTTTAGGGCACGGACAAGGGTAGCTGGCTAGTCGCCAACTTCTCACGCCACGCGCTGGAGAAATTCCAAGAATTAGCTGCTTTGGCAACGTTCCCAGGAATTTGCATGTAAAAGAAGTGGACGGTTACGATGTTTCATATCACGTGGTGCGCTTTCGTGTCACGTGGTATAGACTCGGCGTATGCTATTGGTGGCACGTGGTACGCACGTGACGCGCCCACGTGATCGCGCGTCTAACTGTTCTACTATTATCGAGTTCTAATCAGCAGTATCATTGATTATTGTAAGTCGGAGGATTGAATGATAAACATCAGTTACGACTAAAAAGCGGGCCGGGTTTATACAAATTTCCGGGGCGGGATGATATCACCTTGAGATGTTTATCTAACAGCGGGCCGGGCTGAGTGATAATATGATCCCGCGTCGAAATCCCGGAGATATTTATAATGTTAACAGATTTTGGAAAGTAGAAGTTGGATTGAACGAAGAAACCTTTCCTGCACATACCAAACATTTTTTAACAATTAAATTAAGGTAATCGTGTTAAACTAGTGATATCTACTGATAACCTTCCTTTGATAATATCTTCTGGGCACGTGTTGAAAAACTGCGATAGAGATAACAAGAATTTTGGAGCAGGTTTTTTTAAGGTGTTCAAATTAAAAAGACAGTGAAGTCATTGCCCGGCCAATAAGTCTGGAGAAAGTCGATATTTTGAGGAAAAAGAAGCCATGAACAGACGTTCGGAAGTAGACAATTTTATTTGATAATCTAGGCCAAGTCAAGATATTTCACATTCAAGAACTAAGAAGCCTGTACGTTTAGTATCTAAAGTACTACATATCGTATATAATACCTCCGTAACATCCACACTATCCCCTGGTTAGAGCGAGATAACGCACTATACATTGTACAATGTACATTGTAAATGGGGACATGTACAGCTTACACAACATGTAAGATACACACGGTCATAGTTCATACTTTGCATAAAGTGTGTGCGGGAAGAATGTTCGAGTGTACTTATACTTCCTTACCAACACTTATCTTCACATTGCAGACTCCTGTTATACACACTATACAGAACACTGCAGCTGTCATTCCAAATGTTTTGTGCGTCCTTTGTTATAAACTAACATTTACAGTGTACACACCTGTTCTAAAACTGCTTACTGTAGAGAATTTGTATTTGTCTGTGTATACTTTATGATGACAGGAGCCCTCTCCTTTTTCAGGAGCCCTCTCCTTTTTCAGGAGCCCTCTCCTTTTTCAGGAGCCCTCTCCTTTTTCAGGAGCCCTCTCCTTTTTCAGGAGCCCTCTCCTTTTTCAGGAGCCCTCTCCTTTTTCAGTATCACACCAGGGCACACATCAGGAGGACCAGGTGTCCTCCAAATTACTACAATATTTAGCCGCTACATAACACTCTAGTTACTTTATATTTCATACGCCGTATTCCTATGGTATTCATGCGATTCACACTTAATGTAATATGGATATTATGCTATCTGGCTGCTATTATTCCTTAAGGAGAGATGTCTTGTTGCTGCTGTGGGTCGTTGCTACCTTTCTCTTGTACTACCTTGTACTACCTTGTACTACCTTGTACTACCTTGTACTACTTTGTACTACCTTGTACTACTTTGTACATACTGTATTACTCGCTTTGCATAGCTTTTATCCTTCTCCTCTTTCCGGCGCGGCTTCAGAAATGAAGTGGGGGACATTATAATGTGTTATACAGTCACCATAATTACCAGTTTATCAGGACTACTTGTACAATATACATAATATATAGTGTTATACAATACTAGTAAGGGGGTGTACGCGTTTCAACATGCAGAGCTGATATAACTCTTTACTAGTGTGATGTCGTCAGTAGCGTCTTGTTGAGTTGTTGTCTTGTTGTGTTGCTTTATTGTTCGAACACTAGACTAGTAGCACAATATTATGTATACTGACTCAAGATCTTGCTAGTTTGTTTACCCTTATATTTTGCTTTGTACGAACAGTTGCTGTTGATGACCCATCCTAAACCAAAAACGCAATCATTACAGTATGTGGACATATAATATATACATTCGTCAGTGTGAAACCAATACTGCTAACACTTACACCCGCTATGCGCTTCCTATTTGACAAGGTAGAATTTAGAAATGGCCTGTTATGTATTGCGTGCTCTGTTCATTTGCTTTGAGTTAGAGCGGATCAAATACAATGTTTCTCTGTGTTTAATACTTGTAAACATCGTCTACAATCAATAATTGATCCAATTATAGTATAAAATCGAGGGCCATAATTAGATCAGCCCCAAACTTAGTGGAAGCTAGAGAGTTCGGAATTTCACTAGATAATAGCATTTACCAAAACAAATAACTTGTTAAGAGCTCGCGGCCGTTTTCTGACCCTTTATCTTGTAGTGAGTTGTGGTGATGAGGGGAAGTATGATGTTATTCGCGCTGACGCCGGAGTCTACTCTCACAAAGAATATCGCCAGACACCTCAACCTACCTGTAGGAGCCATGACAAGGAGGAAACTTGCCAACACAGAGACACTCGTAGAAATAAGGGTAACTACACATCTTTATAAGATAAGGGTACCTACACATCTTTATAAGATAAGGGTAACTACACATCTTTATAAGATAAGGGTAACTACACATCTTTATAAGATAAGGGTAACTACACATCTTTATAAGATAAGGGTAACTACACATCTTTATAAGATAAGGGTAACTACACATCTTTATAAGATAAGGGTAACTACACATCTTTATAAGATAAGGGTAACTACACATCTTTATAAGATAAGGGTAACTACACATCTTTCATTATAGGTATATAATGTATAAGCCAGGATCAGGCCGCTTACTCAGCTTTCGAATATTTTGTGAATGTTTTGGAGATATTTTGATGCGTTTTCCAGAGAAGAAAAACCAGTTTTGAATACAGCATCCTCAGGAATCAGTGAGGGGTAAAGACGTGTACTTGATCTTCAGTTGCACAAAGGACTTTAATAACTCCATATTGGTAAGATACGCTCATATTCTTAATGTTAATACTCTGAATATAATAGCCCTACATACACATAACAAGAGGTTTGGAAATAATGAAGATTGTTAAGGATGGGGGTAGTTACTCCCTTACAGCAGATTAGGGGGTTGAGACCCCTTATATCACCCCATATAGCTGAGTTTATAATGTTTAATAACCGACACATAGCGCAGGATCTTCTAATGGTGGTAGAAGCAATGAAGAACGCTTCTGTTGGCACTGTAACCATAGTCCTACCTTCCTTCCCTTACGCTAGGTAGCTTATTCTGACCCTCATGTGTATTGTATAATCTGGTTGCCTGTGGATTGTGGATATATAGGTCAATATATATATCCGCTAGATATCGGGAACAATCTGGGCGATTCCTTAAACAAATGAGACGTTATATCACGTGGGAGTACGGATAACAATTTAAAATAACAATTTAAAACAATGAATTACTAAAAATAGCAATAAATTACTGTAAACTGTAAATAATAATTAATAACTTATAAAGAAACAGATTACACTAAACAGGTACGACTGTGTGAGCAGGGTTGACAGATGTCCTATAGCCAGACTTATAGCTGACATGTTACAATCTGTGGACTGCGATAGAGTCCTAACCATGGATCTTCATACTCCTCAGGTTTGCATAGTTACTAAAGTTACTATGGTTACAACAGTTACTTTCATCGTCTAGTCGCCGTGGTTACTTTTAACGTAACGTTAAACAATATTTCATAATAGTTCAAACTTGAAGTAACATCGTAAGATACTGATGAGACTTGGCAAACGCGTTTCAAGTGTAAGTGTAAGTGTAAGTGTAAGTGTAAGTGTAAGTGTAAGTGTAAGTGTAAGTGTAAGTGTAAGTGTAAGTGTAAGTGTAAGTGTAAGTGCAAGTGTAAGTGTAAGTGTAAGTGACGGTATGAGATTGAGCCAACTAGAAACCAGCTATTAGATTACAATATATCAGGTCTTGCTCCTTATATGGGCATCACATGGTATTAGATTACAAGATATGAGGTAACACATTGGTAGTGTGGTCAGTTTAACACAAAGTCTATCAAAATACAGTTAAGACACTGACACGTCCTTCTTTTCGGGAGTCATTGCGGCCAATATAAATAGTCAGGGCTTAAATTGTGCTGAGAAATCCTTTCGAAAGTTTGCCTCTCAGCTCTGACTACAATTTAAAATGAGTAGAAATAAAATAAAACCTTGAAAGCTGGTGCATGTTTCAGGTACAAGGCTATTTCGACCTGCCAGTGGACAACATAACCGCAGAACCAGCCTTCAGGGACTGGATAAAGGAAAACCACCTCAAAAAGGCAGTTCTAGTCACCCCAAATCCTGAGGTATTGTGTACAGGGGTCAGGGAACATAACACACTAAATACCATGTACATTGTACAATGTACATGTTACATGTGTGGCTGCAGTCACACACCCTTTTATAATGTCAAATGGATTATCTCAGAGGTTGCGAGCTCAAATTAACCAAATAAAATTAACCAATAATGCTATTCTTGTAATGTTATTGCTAATATCTTTACTCGTCAGGGGACGAAAAGAGTGGCTCAATTCTCAGAGAGTATGGGTATGCAGTTCGCTATAGTACACGTGGCTGATAACGAGGATTCAGCGGGACCCCACCGACCTCACTCCCTCGTCGGCAATATAAAGGTTAGTAGCTAGGATAACTAGGGTAACTAGGGTAACTAGGGTAACTAGAGTAACTAGGGTAACCAGTTCAGGAGGACACCACCGACCTCAATCCCTCGTCAGCGATATACAGGTCGGGAATACAGTACATGTACACTACAGTCTACAGATATTAGATTTTGTAAATTAGTACAATTTGAAATGTGCATAACGATTATTATTTTAATACTTTCAACACTACTATATAACAAATAATTTGAGCCTGAAGATGGCGTTGACGCCGAAAATTTGCCCTTACTCCTAACTTCCTTGTTTCACTTGTCCTTGTCTCTTCCAACCGGATAATATCCAGATATCAGTATTTCAATCATGAGACTAATAAACAGCGAACTACTCCGTTATTTGATATAACGATTATCGTATAATAGTTAGGGAAAACCTGTCTTTAATACAAACTGTCAACGTGTAGACTATCTACTACAGTGTAGTGTGTACATTGGGCCACAAATTATTATAGGCCACGCTAGCTCTACACCTACTCTACACGACAAATAGTTGGAATCTTTTAACAATTATGATTATTCATCGTGTGAAAATATTTACCCAAATACCGGTTCCTGATTAATATCACAAAGAAAGTGGGTATAAAGTTGAAATAATGCCAGGAAAACACGGAAATTAGAAAAAATAGAAAATGGGATAATTGCGGAGCTAAGGTACAGTAAGAGTAAAAAGGCAAACATAGTCAAATGAGGTGGGTAGAAGAGGGGCAAGCAATCCAAACATGTAACTGTGTGACACTTGAGTCCTGACCCGGACGTTAAAGCAGACAGTCCACCTGTGAAATGAGGAGGAACTAATTAAACAGTGTGATGCGATCAGAGGGAAGATCAGAAGACAGGTTGACAAACTAGATATACATTACAAAACACAGACTGCAAAACACAGACAACACTCTTACCTTATAGCTCCAGAGAAGATTATATTTTGTTGGTAGATCTTCTCGGTCCAGCAGCCACACTCCGACACACAGCAGAATAATACATGCTAGGGAAATAGTAAGTAATAGGGGGGGGGGGGGGGGGGGGGGTGGGGGGGGGAACATACACAAACTTTCATTAAATATCAGGAATTCCGCAAAGAGATTTAAATCAGTCATCATTGGAATGCCACTCAATGAACATTCCCTTAATAGGCTAGCATCCGTCTGGAATGGAGTCTAGGCTAGACGTGAATGAGTTTAGCATTCTGAATCTAGTTTTATGAAACTAGCTTTATGGGCTTCTTATCTAATTTTCAATTGCGGTGATCAGCACTGTATTTTCTCACGGCAACAATTAAACAGGATATTCCCATAACCCCCCCCCCCCCCCCCCCCCAATTAAACAGGATATTAGGCAGATTTATATCATTATATATTGAAACTGGACAAACCGGGCGTGGCCGATTTGTATAAGCTGTTTTGTGTAGTACTAAGTACTACTACTATTATTATATAATCATAGACACCCGTTTAATAGGACGTTACTCAGCACGTTTTGCAGGACAGGGATTGTATAATATACGATGATATTGCTGATAGGTGTGACTCCATAGTGAAGACTGCAGAGTTTCTAAAACTAAAAGGTGCCAAGAGGGTGTTCTGTATGGTTACACACGGACTCTTTACTAAGGAGTCACTCCAGGTAAGCTATTATTCATTTACATAATCAGGATATCAGGACCTGTTTGTTTTATTGTATTTAGTGCCCAAGTAGTGCAGTAGTATTTAGTGTTGTAATACCCCACCCCCAGAGGTGTGCAGTAGTATTTAGTGTTGTTATATCCCACCCTCAGAGGTGTGCAGTAGTATTTAGTGTTGTAATACCCCACCCCCAGAGGTGTGCAGTAGTATTTAGTGTTGTAATACCCCACCCCCAGAGGTGTGCAGTAGTATTTAGTGTTGTTATATCCCACCCTCAGAGGTGTGCAGTAGTATTTAGTGTTGTAATACCCCACCCCCAGAGGTGTGCAGTAGTATTTAGTGTTGTAATACCCCACCCTCAGAGGTGTGCTGCCAGCCCAATAGACGAGCTAGTAGTGACAGACACGATAGACCAGCAAGAGAACCAGGAAATCTACCCTAAACTCCACACAGTTGACGTGTCTCATCTGTTTGCTGAGGCCATCAGACGAGTTCACAACAACGAGCCGCTACTTGCCCTCTTTAAATTGTAATCACCTTTATAGCTTGATCATGTCATGACAATTACTCTTGCAAACATTTTATCAAATAATGCTGATATTTTGGCCGAGTCGATGAACAGTTATTTAAATTCGTTATGGTTTTTCAACGTTTATCTACTGGTTAATGTGTATACGGTTAAAACTAAATTATTCACTTTTTCAATTTTGTTTCAAAGCCGATCATTTTTGACTCTTCACAATGAAATGACACAATCATTTAAATCATGTTTTGCAGCTAACAATAAAATGTAAAGATTATTAAATTTGGAATGTGTTCCATCCTGGTTAAATGATATACATCTTTGATTTCTGAGCTATGAAAATTTATAATAGAACAAACCTTGTAATGGTAAATTCAAAAAGAATCAGAACGTACCAACGTTGATAAGTCTCCCGATACGGCCCAATATTACATGTCACATTTCCAGAAAAGATCATTGTAAAAATAGTTTTAGCGCACAAAACGTACTATCAAACCAGTAAAAATAGTCCCAATCAAAGAGCTGTCACGTGATGCCCATATAAGGAGCTGTCAGCTGTCAATGAGCAGTAATCCTGTAGTGGGTATGAGATGAGGGGACTCTATACAAATCCAAAGCCTACAGTTTTGATGGCGATCAGTAGCTTAGTCTTGAGAGCGGATTTAGAAGAGTATAGAGGGATATAGAGACGGGAAATACAGGTGTTAGCAGTTGGGAGCTGATTATCAGAGACGGGCCTGATGGTAATCGAGGGGACGGGCTGGAACCCTTCCTCCGTGGCTGGTAGTGCGGGGGAACTAGTCCAGAAGTAGACTAGCTCCTGTTTCTCCGCTACACTCATTCTCTCCACCAGACTCCAGAACCACTTCTTAAACTTGGTTATCTTCTCCTGGGGCTCATTAGGGCCTGCTTCATTGTTAAACTGCGTTATCTGTTTCAGCAGCTCCACACTGATCTCCCCGCTCCCGTTTAGCATCAACCTCAGATCCTCAGCAGTGAGCCCACCTAGGGAGCTCCGGGGGATAACATCCGACACACCCTCGTTAATAGCCCTCAGAGCGGGCCTAGCTGACCCTATTAACTTCTGTCTGGTGTAAAGTCTCACGTAATCATACACATTAGCTGCTGTTACTGGGACAGTAGCTCCGTTAGGTATCAGCTCTATAGCCCCTCTACCACTCTCTCCCTCCAACTCAAATGTCAGCTCGTACTTCTCAATCTGACCAGGGTTCTGCTCCGCGTCTATCACCAGCTGTCTCAGGTTCTCGTACAGGACACTGTCGAAGAAAGCCAGGTCGTGCCAGCTGATCTTCTTACCTATGATAACCTTAAGAACGTGTCGGCACATGGGGAGGGGGAGGATGTGGTTGTGGAGGAGACAGAGGCCGATAAACCTGCCGATATTCCGGTAACAGTTAATCCTCTCCGGGGAGTTATGGGCTGTGCGGGGGGAGTAGAACCCGGCTTTGTCTGGCTGGAAGAACAGCGGGGATAGGTCTGAATCCTCCTCAGGTTGAGGTTCTGAGTGAGGTAGTGAGGTTTCCATAGGCTCAGCCTCCCCACCATTAGCCAGGATCACTTTGTAAGCTTCATCTACAAAGTGTTTTAGTGAGCTCTCGTTAGCCAGCAGCAAGAGCATCTGCGCTGCAGACAGTTCCAGTAGCATGCCGGTTATTTTAGCGGCGTGGGTTGGGAAGTACTTGGAGACGCGGGGGTATAACCGGTCACCCAGGGTTTGCTTGTGTGGTATCAGGGATCTGCTGTCACTCTCCTCAAGTAGGTGACTTGGAATAAACTCCCGTGCTTCACTGTTCAGCTGTTTTTTGTTGTCTTTAGTTCCAGTACTGATTATCTTCGTGGTCCTCGACTTCTTCTCATCCTCCTTCTTATCTTTCCTATCTTTTATCTTCTTGCCGTCACGTTTAGGTAAAATGTTAGCTAAAGAGGGTAGGTCCTCGTTGGATAGCACAGCTTTACAGATTGCAGTGTAGAAACTCTTCGCAATACCGTTACCCTCCCCTGGCTCGTCCTTAAAGGACACCTTTACACGATGAACTGCCAGAGCAGGACACTTGAACCCTGCTGTAACTTGTCTCTTCTCATACACACTGTTCATCTGAGTGAGAGCCTGGGGGAGGAGGAGACCTTGCTCCCGGTCCACTTCTAGAGAAATGTCCCGCTGTTGGGACGACTTCAGTTTCTCCATCTCCCGTCTAAACCTGGCCTCTTTTACCTCAAACCCTCCTAGCTCAGCTAGCACGGAGTCCTTGTCTGAGCCCAGCTCCTCCACGAATATCCTGCCAAACAGTTCAGTACAGAGCCTCCACCTGCCTATCAGGTTATCTACACAAGCAGGCCCGTTAATAGAACTGTACTCGTATGGTGAGTCTGAGTGGGGGATGTAAGGGAGTATTGGGTTTAAAAAGTTGTTATTATAAGGCTGGAGGCCAGGAATAACAGCCTGTAAGTTAGTGAGTACAGGGCAAGGCTGGGAGTAGGAGGAGATACCAGGCAGGTTGAAGTGGGAGACAGGGGCTCCGAACAGGTCCTCCTTTCTAGCGGTGGAGGTGAGCAGGTGGGGTTTATCAGCCAGGGGCAGAGCTTCAGAGAGAGGGGTGGAGAAAGGGTCCGGGGCAGGGCAGCCTAGGAAGGTGGTAGAGTTGCTTCTCTTGAAGAAACTGTGTCGCTTCCCTCCACCTGATAGTCACGTGTTAAGCTTTCAATAATTCAATATAGGACATAATATATACATGTTTAAAATAATATGGTGCTATTTCCTTTATCTGCACTACAGTGCTCAATTTGATGTCAAGGAGCAAAGTATAGAACAAATGAAACTAAGTTCAAATGCCATTTGAAATTTGTTCTATACACGTTTTTAAAAAAAATATTTCCATTACTGTATTATATGGCTCTTACTAATTCGCTCGCCCTAAATTTTCACGTGACTTTGGTTTCTATGGTTTTGCAGCCGAACAAAATGGTTTTACATAAACCCTAACCCTAACCACGAAGCTTTCCATAACCCTAACCATAACCCTGAAGCTATCCATAACCCTAAAACCTTACCCTAACCCGAGCCTGTTTAACTAGCCTGTCACGTGATCAAAACAGTTTTTTGCCCATAACTCTCCATGATTTTTACCCTACGTCATGGGGGGGAATTCGGAATCAGCGTCCAAAAATATACCGAATTAGATTGCTTTTATACCCTCAGGGCCTTTTCACAAGCATTGTTTTTTAAATTGGGGCGAGCAGTTTAGTGGGAGCGGTATATATACAATCCTTGGACCATCAGCTTATACTTCTCCTATTATATAATCCTGTATAGCAAATGTAATACTGACTTGTGAACTGATCAACACTCTCGTCATCACTATCAAACAAGGACTCAGCAAAAAAGGAAGCTTCTTGGGTATCATCATCATACTCCTCTATCGGAATTATCTGGAGATAGAGGGGGTCAATTTAGTGCTTTGGAGTGCTATCCATTTAATTAATATTCTTAGTAATTAATGTGTCACAATATAGTATAACTATACTATTCTTATTGTGAGAAGTCTCGTTTTTTGTTGTTTGTTATTTTTCTCCACCCTGCACTGTACAACTTTAGTACAGGGTTATAGGGCCACTCAAGAAGTTAGAGAACCTCGTCACCTGATGGGATCATATCTCTGATTGTTGCCTCGTTTATCAGTTTATTACACGTGATGCCCATTTAAGGAGATGTTTATAAGTCTATCAGCCTGCTATCTCTGAGGAACGAAGGTGGAACCGTCCATAAATAGGTCTGATTCTGAGGCAAACACTGAACCACAAGTGAATACCATACTTAAATACATATATTCAAATACTATGCAGGAAAAAAATGCATAGGACACTTCCTAATTCACGTGTCTAACAAAATTAGATTTTTATCGCATCTAATTAGATATGAAATGAAGATCCAAACAGCCTGAACCTCCGGGCCTTATCAGTAGAAGAAGTGAGGAAAATATGTTAAAATGCGAAAAAGTGAATATGAAATTTCAGTAATTAGATAAAAACAATGATGGAAGTCACGTTCCAGTCATGCAAGTTTAAAACACAATTACAAGGAAACTGTGCGATAAACATGTCCTTATAATATGTGCATCAAGTGATAAGGAAACTGTGCGATAACCGTTGTTAAAGACGAAAAAGACCCTTCCCTGGGCATTAGGACTTTCCTTTAAAAGACAGTTACATAATTCAATTACAAAAACACACACTTTAACGCCATCAAATAACTAAGAAATAGTTTGTAAGTTGTAACAACTCTGTAAATTGTTAAGATTAATCTAGCACGGCACGAGATAACAATTGAACTACAGGAACTTACGTCGTCAAGTGGGCCCAAGATAGGGGTTGGCTGGAAGGCGTTCCTGAGGTAGTAAACCAAGGAATCAAATATGTTGGCGGCAAACTTCAGACTTGCCAGGTCAATGCTGAAATATTTATAATATTAATATAATATTATATATACAGGGACACCACCATCATCAATGTTCTGCAAGATGCTGGTTATTCAGAGGGGGGAAAATGCGGTTCAAAGAATTTTATGGGGAAGTTGTCTGAGGATTGGAAAATATCCCCATTTTCCCCCATTGTCTTTTGTCAAATATCTTTAGTTGTGAATATTGTAGAAAATTTTTCGAGAAAAACCAAAAAAAAGCCCCAACCCCAAAATGGTAATTTGAGGTAAAATGAGTTTTTTGGGGTTGGAAACCCCACTATTCAAACTGTAAACACGAGCTGAATCCCCCCCCTACCACATACACCCAATTATATCCAAACGGTTAACACGACTCAGTCGTTTAACACGAGCTCAAATTCAAAACCCCAGGTAGATGCATCATTTATCTTAGTTACCATGTTTACTTTCAAAACACGTCCTTTTGCAAATAGTTTACCTTGGTAACATATCTCTATGTTCGTTACTGTAGCCACGCACTAAAGATAACACATAACCGATGGCGTCCCTCCGAGATTTCACTTTGGAGGAGTCTTTAGCTGTTGCTGGGGATAGTTTAAAGATTACATTTCATAGGCGTTCGCAAATAAACATCTTCGTAAGATTTAAAAGTCACGAAAACTTGAAAAGCGTAGGGATCACGCACCCATGAGAGCACGTGTACCTCCAATTCCGTTTCTTCTCTTCATTTGAACCCGTCCTCCTCCCCCTCCTCCCCCTCCTCCTCCTCCTTCTTCTTCTCTACTTGTGCTCGCTCCTTGTGACGAGCTCCCGCCTGATGAAATTGTTAGCTTTATAATTTCATTGACAAATTTTCACATATTTTTGGTATTTTTCAACTAAATAATCGATTGAATTTATCAATGAGAGCGTGGATAAAGTAATCGCATAATAAGTAACTAACGAGGAAGATGAGCAAGGTCGGAGCTGGGAAGGTGACTGAGGTCTGAAGTGGTGGCTAAACTTGCTCCAAACTTCAGCTGGGATTCTGTCTGATCCAGCAGAGTGGCGATCCACATCCACACTGATCCTGTAGCAATTAGGTGTAATTAGTAGTAATTAGGTGAATACAAAGCCACAGCTGATAACGAGCAAGAAATGGATAAGATATCAGAAATTGACAAGAAATCGCAATACTTATTGCACCAAGTGATCGGATGTAAATAAAACACTGATGTTCCTCAAATATTTTCCTTCATTTTACTCCTACAAAGTTACCAGTACCGAACCGGTCTCCTTAGTAACTTTATGCAGAATACATTACCTAACTCCTTAGTAACTTCCTTAACTCCTTAGTAACTTGATGCAGGATACCTTATCTAACTCCTTAGTAACTTCCTTAACTCCTTAGTAACTTTATGCAGGATACCTTACCTAACTCCTTAGTAACTTACCTAACTCCTTAGTAACTTACCTAACCCCTTAGTAACTTACCTAACTCCTTAGTAACTTCCTTAACTCCTTAGTAACTTTATGTACGATACCTTACCTAACTCCTTAGTAACTTACCTAACTCCTTAGTAACTTTCTTAAATCCTTAGTAACTTTATGCAGGATACCTTACCTAACTCCTTAGTAACTTACCTAACTCCTTAGTAACTTACCTAACTCCTTAGTAACTTGGTGTAGGATATCGTTGACGCTAGGACTATCTTTAACGCTGTCTTGTTCGTAGTGGCTCAACACGTTGCTCATCTCGTGAATGAGAGAGTGAAACAGGCTGGCTAACATAGTGTTGGTGTTTGTGGTGGACTCTGACTTGTTGTTGGAAGCGGCTGGGGTCGGCTGCATTTGTCTGATCACCTGAAATTAGAAGTTGTAGTGCTCAGAGGTTAAATCATTTAACGTCTTCCTTGTAAGGAGTTATCATTGTAAGAGAAGTGATATAACGTCTTCCTTTTAAGGAGTTATCATTGTGAGAGAAGTGATATAACGTCTCCCTTGCAAGGAGGTATCATTGTGAGAGAAGTGATATAACGTCTTCCTTGTAAGGAGTTATCATTGTGAGAGAAGTGATATAACGTCTCCCCTGCAAGGGGTTATCAAATTTGTGAGAAAGGTGATATAAACTGCACAGCGAGGAAAAATTTCTCCAGTACTGACCCACTGCATTGCCTGTGGAACACTAGTCATGGCGGTGGAGGAGGAGGAGGAGGCCGGGATCCTCTGTCGGCGTGACGTCATGAAATCAAGGTTCATAATGTCTCCTTCCTCTACTTCCACGTTACTGTCATCTGAAATAAGATGGGTAGACCAGGCCTCTAAATCTAGAATTGCAAGATAAATATACAGGGGGGGGGGGGGGGGGAGCAAAAGTCAGTACTCATACGTTGGGTCTTATACCACCTCCGTGTTTCATATTTAAGACCTGTAACTTTGCAGATGGTATACTGTTATTACTGTCAATACTCATTCGAGGATTCCGTCATAAATTAGATTTATAGGGGCCACGCCCAATCAACATTGAATTGCTCACTTACCTGAGGTGTCTGTAGTGGCCCCCACGATGTAGTCGTCTTCAGACCCGACACTGTCACTGTAGTTATCTTCACTCTCGCTCTCCTCTTCCTCCACCTGTCGGGACGAGTCCACTCTCCTCCGAGACTTCTTCCCTGTCACATATAACATGAACAATCCATTATCCATCAACTAACTCATTGATTGATAGTTAATAATAGACTTATAAATTAAATAATTTTGAAAGGTTAAATAACATTAAAATCAGAACCCACCTTCACGTCTCTGAGGGTGTGGGATTGAGAAGAACTCAGTGCTATTTTCAATAGCCTCCTTGGTAGTGTTAACTTGAGGTATTAGGGCACATGGTCTGGAGATACCAAACCGGACGGGAGTGATAATAGCGTTAGCAGACTCCGCAAGCAGTCTGATACTAACGTGGGGCAGTGACCTGAACACTTGGTCACACTTGGAACTGGGGAACTGGGTGCTGCGGGAGTGGCGTGTTAGTAGTTACCATGGTAACTACACCACTGGTAGTGTTGTAATATATTAATCGTAAAATAGATATGAAATTGGCTATTTAATTGATAAAGTATGTACTAGGTAACTTATTAATTTTGTTTCGATTCTGTCAGTTCTCAAAAGAGTGGGCATAGTTCGAGCAATGCCGATCAAGTGGGTTAGTAAAAGAGATCGGCAGGCCAACGTATGAAAGAATACTAAAAAAACATAATAACTCTGGTCCGAAACATACCTCTTTTTCTTAGCAGGAGAAGCGACTTGGAGGGAGAGGGCTATGAAGACCCTGATGACACTTCTTACAAACCGCTCAGTGAGCAGGGTAGCTTCCTTATCCCGCGTGGAGCACGACTTCAGTGTGTTTATCAGAATCTGAAGAGTTTAGTGGTTACCATGGTAACTGGAACACCAATAGTAGTGTTATTATTTCAGAGTGTTCATCAGAATCTGAACAGTTGCTAGACAATTGGGGGGGGGGGGGGGGGGGGGGGGGGGGGGGCAACCATATTAAAGTATATTAAAATGTAGGATTTTTATATCCCTATCTCCTTGGAGGCCTACATCAAAAATTGTTGCCCAAAATAAGCTTGAAATGCAATTCTTAATCGATTCCAAAAAGTTCTTGAAAAAATATTGAAAACTGATGGAGTGATTTAAATTTTAATGAAGTCATTTTGGCTAGTATTCCGAACCGAGATATTATGTGCAATTTTCCCAATTTTGTTCATGGAGGTCTTTTTACTTATTATCCACTATATTCAACAAACACTGAGTTATATCTTTCACATAGAGTTAGTCTCATTAAAAAATATTGAAATTTTATCGAATTTGGGCAAAAGAGAATTTGGGAAAAAGTGTATGCCCAAATATGGGCATATTTTTTAAAGCTCATAGCTCAGCCAATTTTTGACCAATCTGGATGGAAATTCATGTACTAGTCCTAAAACAGGCTTATCTTGCGAATCTGAGTGAAAAATATAGTTCATCATGTAAATCTTAACGAAGAATATAAATCTTCTAATTTTGACCCGGGGATATACTTTAATATACGTTAATATGGTTGCCCCCCCCCCCCCACAATTTCTTGTAATTTGATACTATTGGCAGTTGTGAAATCAAAAAGCCATTGTGGGTCACTGTTAATAACAGTGACTGTTATACACTGTTATAGAGATATTGAAATTATAAGAACTGCCGTTAAAAACCTGAAGCATTTCAGCAGTGCACTTGGTGACGAGGTAGTAGGTAAAGCAGTCTAGTTTAGCTGTACCGCTCTGCTTTATCAGACACTGTTTCTGCTCCTCCGAACTTAATACCGTCACATTCCTGAAAACAGTTTAGTGGTTACCATGGTAACTACTTAGTACTGACACATTCCTGCAATCATTAAACGGTTGCAGATATAAAAACTTGGCTTAGGCCTTAGGCTAACTAAACTAGCTTTATTAGGGCATAGATTTAAGGCAAAATAAAAGAGGAACCCTCAACACCGTTTTGTTCACCTTTAACTTATTAAAGTATATAAACAAAATGGTGTACCTAAATGATTTTAGTCCACTGTCCAGAGTGAACACATCAAAAACGACACATGGAAGTGCAAACTCAGCTAAAATTAGCAAATTAAGTGTTATCTTAATAGTAAGTAAATACATAGTTTACTCTTCAAGATGAGCAGGATATGTACCTGTTGTAATGTCCCTTGTGTTTCTCAGAACACCCCTCAATTAACATAGCCTTCACAGCCTTGTAGTCAGCCAGCACTATCTTCAGTGCCTCGTTACAGAACTTGGGAGGGTCCAGGTTAGTTGGGGGCGCAGCCGTGTCACGGCGTGACTCACGTGCTCTGAAGCTCTGCGCTGACTGTGCTTTACGGAGTTCACGCACTTGTCGGATAACAGTTTGTACTAGCGTAAACAGGAGCGGCTCTCCTCTGAAACAAATGTTATTGAACTGGTAGCGTAGAGACCTTGATTATGTACTAATTCTGTCTTTCGCTGACGCAAATTAGAAACTGATGTAATGGGCACACGCAATAAACCGTACTTGTCATTGTGAAGCTCTGAGAAGTTGGTGTCTTTAAGAAGCTGTTTGAATAAACTCATTCTGACCTCCTGGTCCCCGGCAACGAGCGCGCAACACGGACCCTTCACCCAACAATCACAATAGGCTGTGTGTGACAGGGTCTTTAACCTGAAAATGGATTTAGTAATACTACAATTCCGTACTATCTAATTTATAAACGTCAAAAGACCCGCTTTGGTAGATACTCCTGAACTAGTCTGTATGTACGTGAGACGAGCGCGCTCATGGACATGCTCGAGATCGCATTACTAGTTTTTGGTGCTAAAATGCGAACTTTTGTATAGTTGATTATCAGAAAGACTCCGCGCGTTACGCGAATGTAGACCCAATTTGCAAACTCTCTGGGTTTCAGGCAGCATTTTGCCATGGTCAAATTACACCCAGCTACTAGAGTTAAATAGATTTAACTGCCAAAACACAATTTTAACAGTTCACAAAATTACCCCGACAATATATGCATTAGAAACAGTTGACCCAGTATTTAAATTAGACTGCACGCATGGCCTGGATTGACCGGGACTGGATTAATATAATACACATCCATACGTCGGTTTATAGCCAAAAATCTCAAAATATTAAGTTCAAGCCATCTAAAGCGACTATTGATCATGAACAAAATATGTAACAGGGAATTTTATGAGCTATGAATTTATAAATATGAGAAAGTTATATTAGCAAAATCATTAAAAGCTTTTCCAAGTACTCATTATTGGCTTACTTGCAATCGTGGCCAGCGTGACAGACTTTAGCACACTCACTACAACAACAGTATATCTCCATTAGACCACACGTTCTGCACTCGTAGATATCCTGTAGTAGTAAGGGGGTGTGTCCAACCCCAAAAAAAACAAAAAACCCAACCCCGAAATGGGAATTTGAGGTAAAGTTGGGTATTTTGGGTTTTTTAAAGAAACAATGCTAGAATTCATTTTATTCACACCTAAATTCATTCGAGACCAAGTTTATATAAAATGTTATCTTCCATCATCCCCATTGCCAATAATTATGTGTCATTTGTATTATTTGGGGTTCCCTACTATGTTCACTGTTCCGGGTTCCCCACCTGCGTGATATACTAATAGTACTATGTTTACAGTGTGTTACCTGTGTGATGTGATGTTTGCCAGTCCAGGTGAAGCTGCAATTATCGTTATCACACAGCATGTATAAAGGTTGAGATATTGGAGTAGAGTCACTAGGACACAACAGTTCTTCTAGCTCCCGGCGTTTCTCAGTCTCGGACCGTGTGTCAGGTGTGGAGATGTCGTTGTACACTATATCGTAACAACCTGAATAGTGTTCCGGACATTAAACTAGAACTATTATAGAACTATCGTTATTATATATTACTAGAACGGTAGTTTGCTAAAACATATTGAATGTTTGTATCGTTTAAACTGTTTCTCCTGACAGTAGTTTAGTATTTTAGTACTCACAATCGTAAATAGCGAAGGCAGCTGGGTAGGCCCTGTTTCTGACAGCGTACATGAAGGGAGTGTATCCGTTAGCGTCCCTGTGTTTCAGCAAGGAGTGTAGGTAGGGCTTAACATCAACATTCCTCAGCAGTAAAGTCAGGATATACAGCCCTGGGGAGGAGAGGTTAGTAGGGCTTAACATTAACATTCCTCAGCAGTTAAGTCAGGATATACAGTCCTGGGGAGGGGAGGTTAGAAGGGCTTAACATTAACATTCCTCAGCAGTAAAGTCAGGATATACAGTCCTGGGGAGGGGAGGTTAGAAGGGCTTAACATTAACATTCCTCAGCAGTAAAGTCAGGATATACAGCCCTGGGGAGGAGAGGTTAGAAGGGCTTAACATCAACATTCCTCAGCAGTAAAGTCAGGATATACAGCCCTGGGGAGGAGAGGTTAGTAGGGTTTAACATTAACATCCCTCAGCAGTAAAGTCAGGATATACAGCCCTGGGGAGGAGAGGTTAGTAGGGCTTAACATTAACATCCCTCAGCAGTAAAGTCAGGATATACAGCCCTGGGGAGGGGAGGTTAGTAGGGCTTAACATTAACATCCCTCAGCAGTAAAGTCAGGATATACAGCCCTGGGGAGGGGAGGTTATTGTTGGGGGATAACTTGGGGGGGGGGGGGGGGAAAGCAGTAAAGTCAGGATATACAACCCTGGGGAGGAGAGGTTAGTAGGGCTTAACATTAACATCCCTCAGCAGTAAAGTCAGGATATACAGCCCTGGGGAGGGGAGGTTATTGTTGGGGGATAACTTGGGGGGGGGGGGGGGGGAAAGCAGTAAAGTCAGGATATACAGCCCTGGGGAGGAGAGGTTAGTAGGGCTTAACATTAACATCCCTCAGCAGTAAAGTCAGGATATACAGCCCTGGGGAGGTGAGGTTAGTAGGGCTTAACATTAACATTCCTCAGCAGTAAAGTCAGGATATACTGATATACAGTCCTGGGGAGGAGAGGTTAGTAGGGCTTAACATCAACATTCCTCAGCAGTAAAGTCAGGATATACTGATATACAGTCCTGGGGAGGAGAGGTTAGTAGGGCTTAACATCAACATTCCTCAGCAGTAAAGTCAGGATATACAGCCCTGGGGAGGAGAGGTTAGTAGGGCTTAACATTAACATTCCTCAGCAGTAAAGTCAGGGTATACAGCCCTGGGGAGGAGAGGTTAGAAGGGCTTAACATTAACATCCCTCAGCAGTAAAGTCAGGATATACAGCCCTGGGGAGGGGAGGTTAGTAGGGCTTAACATTAACATTCCTCAGCAGTTAAGTCAGGATATACAGCCCTGGGGAGGAGAGGTTAGTAGGGCTTAACATTAACATTCCTCAGCAGTTAAGTCAGGATATACAGCCCTGGGGAGGAGAGGTTAGAAGGGCTTAACATTAACATTCCTCAGCAGTTAAGTCAGGATATACAGCCCTGGGGAGGGGAGGTTATTGTTGGGGGATAACTTGGGGGGGGGGGGGGGGGGGGGGGGAAAGCAGTAAAGTCAGGATATACAGCCCTGGGGAGGAGAGGTTAGTAGGGCTTAACATTAACATTCCTCAGCAGTTAAGTCAGGATATACAGCCCTGGGGAGGAGAGGTTAGAAGGGCTTAACATTAACATTCCTCAGCAGTAAAGTCAGGATATACTGATATACAGTCCTGGGGAGGAGAGGTTAGTAGGGCTTAACATCAACATTCCTCAGCAGTAAAGTCAGGATATACTGATATACAGTCCTGGGGAGGAGAGGTTAGTAGGGCTTAACATCAACATTCCTCAGCAGTAAAGTCAGGATATACAGCCCTGGGGAGGAGAGGTTAGTAGGGCTTAACATTAACATTCCTCAGCAGTAAAGTCAGGGTATACAGCCCTGGGGAGGAGAGGTTAGAAGGGCTTAACATTAACATCCCTCAGCAGTAAAGTCAGGATATACAGCCCTGGGGAGGGGAGGTTAGTAGGGCTTAACATTAACATTCCTCAGCAGTTAAGTCAGGATATACAGCCCTGGGGAGGAGAGGTTAGAAGGGCTTAACATTAACATTCCTCAGCAGTTAAGTGGGGGGGGGAGAGGAGGCGGGGTCATCGATATTTGACCATAGGTTAAGGAATAAATAAATAAGCAAAATGGGCATCATTTTCATCATTTTTTGGCCAAAATCGAAAAACCAAAAATGCATTTTTCTGATACCATATCTCTATTGAGATGCTGTACTTGCTAATTAGAGGAAGGCGAACACGATGTTTATTTTCACTAGGTAACTCAATTTTGACAAAAACTTGAGGAATAAATGGGCAATGGGGTCGCATCCCCCCGGCCCCCAATTTGTAGTGCTTAATTGTAGGGAGCATCACGGCTCAAGACAGACTAAGTGAAACGAGGCAAATAACTGGTCAAAACTAAATGAAAGTAACCAACGTTTCGCCTTTTAATAGATCACTTAGTAAAATACTTAGTAAAATAATTAGTAAAATACTAAGTAAAAGGGCCACTAGGCCTACTAAACACTACATAAACTAAACAAAGTTAATGGTAATTGTGAAGAGGCCTACCCTTATTGTTAGCCACTGAGCCCTTCTTGCCAAGTTTGGGAGAACCTTCCTGTGGTAGTCCTGACCAGGTGTCTGAAAGTTACAATTGGTTAAGCAAGGGGGGGGGGGGGGGGGGGGGGCGGGGGTAGCAAGGATAAATAAAGAGTTAATAAAGTGTCAGTCAATTGAAGTGTAAAAGATAAGTAAGATGAGAATGTACCAGGAGAGGCAGTCCCTTCAGAGTTAGTGACCCCTACAGGATAGAATACTGCACGCTGCATCATATCCCGCAGAGAGAACGAAGGTGACGCAAAACCACCTGAAATGAATTGGGTGATATCAATAACAAAACCACCTGAAATGAATTGGGTGATATCAATAACAAAACCACCTGAAATGAATTGGGTGATATCAATAACAAAACCACCTGAAATGAATTAGGTGATATCAATAACAAAACCACCTGAAATGAATTGGGTGATATCAATAACAAAACCACCTGAAATGAATTGGGTGATATCAATAACAAGGTGTAGAGTCAATAGTGTACACTGTTGTGTCTATACTAGTACTCTAGAAAGTGAACTTCTGGCCATCATTAGATAACTAGCTGTTAGTTACTAGCTGGGATAATCTGCACACTGCACTCATTATACACTTATCTAATGTACATTGAAACCACTGAACACACCATTATACCAGAGATCATACCTAAATTCGATAATGGCAGTATCGTGCATTTTCTCTATTTTTTATCAATAAACTTTCAAATTGTTACACAAATTTACGCCATTTTATTAAAATTCGCCGGACGACCAAATAAAATGCCTGACAAGTGTAAACAAAATAAAGACCCTACCTTGGTCCCCTATAACGGAGGCTGGTCTCTGTGGTTCACTGCTTGTGTCTGGTTTACCGTGCTTGTCGCTGCTTGGTATGCAGGTAGTCACCGCAACGTGCAGGATATTGTGGCTACACCCTACTGTTTCCAGCAGTATACTCTTATCTGCACAATAGTTAGTTACTTAATTATTAATCAATTAGTTACTTAATTAGTCGTAAAACAAATCGATAAATTCCTCACACAAATCACTACTTAAAGCACCTGTTTATTTACTGTAAGCTGTTTACCTGGAGCGTTGGGAAGCTCATTGAGTAGCACCATAACTGCAGCAACATTCATACTTCTTATCCGGGGTATGAGATATGTTCTCTGAGTCACCAGCACCATCATGGAAACCTGTCATTAATGTGTTTTGTTAAGTTTATGTAATACCCAGTACCCAGTTTAAAATTACACATCAGATTGAAAGAGGGATATTTTATAAATGCTGTAATAAGTAGCTTCCAAATGAGAAACCAGCAACAGCGTCGGTGGTTGAGTGGTACAATTCTCGCCTGCCACGCGGGAGGCCCGGGTTCGATTCCCGGCCGACGCATGTCTTTTAGTCGTATAAGTAGCATTATTTCCATCTGATATTATCAGAATAATATCTAAATAATTAGAAGTAGCCTGTACCTCATGGCTAGCTCCGTAGTGGGATCCGAACGCGGACACCTTTACAGGTGGTAGATTATTCCAGGAGATGTTCTTGATACCTCCTACCTCATCGTACGCTAGTGGAACTACTGCTCTGTTGTGGTCCTCTAGTATCAGGAAGTCACCCTGGTTAGTGCAACTGTTAAGTTTTTGTGCAATAAAATCATGTTAATTACTTAGGATTATTTAAGGGTAGAATTGAAACTCAATATTAGCTCTATACCACTACTTCTATCGAATACTTATACTAATAATATGCAGATTGCAGCTATGGCTATTATAGTTACTAATCAACCATTTCTGAGTTGCACAGTAGTTGCTTTACTTTTAACAAAGTAACAATAACACGGTTAATATTAGTAAAATAATTATATTTCAGCTGTTAGTAAAAATGTTTAATTTTAATTGTAAACTACTCTAGTAGCAGAGTACTACAAGAGTAAACATGAACTCACCTTGTTCTCAGTGTGTAATGAGTAAAGTTTGACAGGTTTTCTGTTGAGATACTGGAAGGAGTCTTGCGGAAAGAGGGCGGGAGAGTGGGGCTTACAGCTGGGGAGGGTGTAATGTACTAGCTTTATACTCTGTGACCCCTGTACCATCGCCTGTAAGTAAATAGTAACCTTACACTCTGTATCACGTGTTAAACTGCCAAATACATTAGCGCAAGTCCTTAGTTTTGTGCAAGGAGCTAATAACATAGGTAGACAAAAAGAAACAAGCTATAAAGACAGTATGTGCCGTATAGCTAGCTGCAGACATATCACATACATACCACAAACATTCTGCGATTAAATTTATTTTGTTGATTGTAATGTTGTGACATTGCATAATTTATTGTAAATATAATATATGTTTCAGAATCATGTAATGTAACGTGATGGAAATATATTAAGCGGGCATATCCTATCCAAACCCAGGATGCACGACATGAAGAATTTGTTTTAACTTAGTATGAAAAGCATCCATACATACCGCGGCCCGGACAGTATTTTCCCAAAAAATACCCAAGTTGTAAACATTGAAACAAATTGAAAAATAATTATGCCTGCTCTACTTTCGTTAATATAAAGATCCTTATAATGCCGCTGACTGACCTGTATGCCTCTGTTTGAAGCGGTGAAAGCAGATAGTGTGTTTGGTACGTCTAGTTTATTGAGGGTCACGTGGCCGATCCTCTCTCCTGTTGAGGAGGGCACTCTGGCGTCCTCAACACAATGGATATCCTCTATTCTCAGTAACCTGATTAGGTGGTTTAAGAGAGGTTAAGAGCATATTTCAAATGAAGAAACTGGCTGGTAGCTGAATAGGAAAGTGTCTGGCCGAAAATTTTAAGATCGGAGTTCGAATAAACGCTACTTTTTCTTTTTCAACATTTGTTTAAATTATCGCCTTTTTCAAGTCGAATGACCAATGACCAGATTCCCAGCCACTTTTTAAATTTATCTCACCGGTGGTTTAAAAAACGTCTAAATACAGCTACAGGGTGATCTTGCCATCACCTATTTAACTGCACCATGCGACAAATAGAGTAAAAATAATAGTGGGGATGTACAAACTACGAACCTGCAATTCTTAATGAGGTCAGCAGGGTCAGCTCCGTCTCCAGTAGAGTTGGCGGGTATAACAGCAGCGAACTTACCGTCTATCTTAACTACCTCGTGCACAGGGGGTCCGTTATCCTGGGGGAGAGGGGTTATAGACCTGGGATAATGAGAACAATCATAGTCTCTTAGAAACTATACCACAAGACTGCATGTTCATCTCACCTGAACTATAACACAAGACTGCATGTTCATCTCACCTGAACTATAACACAAGACTGCAGGTTCATCTCACCTGAACTATAACACAAGACTGCAGGTTCATCTCACCTGAACTATAACACAAGACTGCACATGCAGGTTCCTCTCACCTGAACTATAACACAAGACTGCAGGTTCCTCTCACCTGAACTATAACACAAGACTGCAGGTTCATCTCACCTGAACTATAACACAAGACTGCAGGTTCCTCTCACCTGAACTATAACACAAGACTGCAGGTTCATCTCACCTGAACTATAACACAAGACTGCAGGTTCATCTCACGTGAACTATAACACAAGACTGCAGTTTCATCTCACCTGAACTATAACACAAGACTGCAGGTTCCTCTCACCTGAACTATAACACAAGACTGCAGGTTCCTCTCACCTGAACTATAACACAAGACTGCAGGTTCATCTCACCTGAACTATAACACAAGACTGCAGGTTCATCTCACCTGAACTATAACACAAGACTGCAGGTTCATCTCACCTGAACTATAACACAAGACTGCAAGTTCCAAGTAACCTCACTACCCCATTCCTCTCTGCCGCTCATCACCTCGAACCTAGCTTCCTTGTTGCCTTCCCACAAGTCCTCCAATAGGACCCCGACACAGGGTGTTCCCTTCCTCACACAGTAACCGTGTGCTCCGATGTGGTACAGGGGTCGTCTATTTAGTGATACCTGCGGCGATGAGAGGGTGACACCTTTATAGTTATACAGATATAATTAACCTTGTTCAAAAAATATCAATCACATGAAAGTCATGAATAATACCGCAAATGTGAGCTAGTGCCATGTAACTGTGCGCTAGTAATATTATTACCTTGCTCCCCACCACTATCTGTTTAGTCGGTTTCTGGGCACTACCGGAAGCACTGGGAGTACTAGTACTTGCTTTAGTCTTGCTCTTACTTACTCCACTCTTGTCTTTTGTCTCACTTCTCACCGGGTAGTTCCCACTGTTCATTATTTATTTGTCAATAAATTGTCTTCATTTTGTTAATTCAAAGTATAATCTTTAAAATGTTATGTTATTGTTTCCTACCAAAAAAACTGATATGAAGCACAGTATCGAATCAAAATGGTATGAGAACTTAAATTAATATGTAAGGACTGTAGACACTCCCAACCAGTATAATATAATATATAATATACTGGAATACAATATACTCACAACCAGTAGAGCTGCCCCTGTTTAGTAGATAGCACAGTAAAGAAGTCAGTAGATACCATAGAACTGATTTGAGTATTACGTAACTCTGGGAACTCCCTGCATGGCATCTGGAAAAGGGGAGATTATATTGAGATTGTAAAGGGAGGGGGAGACAGGTAGATTAGGAAAAAGCAAATATATTCACTTGATAAAAAATAGCTTAAAGTTCTTTTAATTAAGTGCTTTAATTAAGTGCTTTATAAATCTAAAAATAGATTCCGGAAAATTACGATTGGTAATGTTTTCTAAATACTATGTCAATCACCTTCGAATTTTGCTGTCAAACAAAACTCCCGATGAAAGACAGACAGAGAAGATTTTCAATATTTACATCATCATTATCTGTTTCAAATCATAAATAAAAAATATACGGGCCCTGAAGTGATACCTGTATCAAGTTAGCTATCTTGTCCAGTTCAGGATCCACAAGTACTGCCATTTGGTTATCCTCAGTGAGAATAGTAGTGCGAGACAGTGATACAGCAAGGTGGGATATTCTCTTGTCGGAGAGGTTTAGGTCGGGGAGGGGAGGGGTGTAGAGGGGTGGGTCTTCTGTTATCATGTCTCCTGGCTGATATAGTAACATTTAGTTATTGAATAACTTAACATATTCCGTGAATAGCACATTGTTTTTAAGTTGGACCATGTATATACTATATATAGGTATAAAGTACCAGCATATCAATAAGGTAATCTAAGGAAGCATAGCACACACTTACTTGATCGGAATGAACAGGTTCACTATCCCAACTCCAGCGATGTAACTTGCCGTCCCTGTCTAGAGCCAGCAGGAAGGAGTACATAGCCCCCATGTGTGTGAAATACAGGTCACTAGGGTACCACTCTACTTCCTCGCAGATCACATCTGTAGTGCGAGACTCTTCTTTCTGGTCCGATACTACTGACTGAAATACAAAAATACTGATAGCTTGGAAATTAGAAGTTAGAACGGCTAACACCACCAATATATAATAGAATAGGGACTTATTAGTATTGCTGTAACACTAGGGGAAACCCCATCAACTAGCTGGTAACTAGGGGAAACCCCATCAACTAGCTGGTAACTAGGGGCAACCCCATCAACTAGCTGGTAACTAGGGGAAACCCCATCAACTAGCTGGTAACTAGGGGCAACCCCATCAACTAGCTGGTAACTAGGGGCAACCCCATCAACTAGCTGGTAACTAGGGGCAACCCCATCAACTAGCTGGTAACTAGGGGAAACCCCATCAACTAGCTGGTAACTAGGGGAAACCCCATCAACTAGCTGGTAACTAGGGGAAACCCCATCAACTAGCTGGTAACTAGGGGCAACCCCATCAACTAGCTGGTAACTAGGGGAAACCCCATCAACTAGCTGGTAACTAGGGGCAACCCCATCAACTAGCTGGTAACTAGGGGCAACCCCATCAACTAGCTGGCAACCCCATCAACTAGCTGGTAACTAGATCAACTAAATAGTAACTAGATCAACTAGCTGGTAACTAGATCAACTAGCTGGTAACTAGATCAACTAGCTGGTAACTAGGGTCAACCCCATAAACTAACTGGTAACTAGGGGCAACCCCATCAACTAGCTGGTAACTAGGGGAAACCCCATCAACTAGCCTAGCTGGTAACATGAAGTAACTCACCCAGGTATCCGGCTTATCGGCAGTGCTGGAAGAAGTGCCGGGTTGAGAGGAAGCGCGTCTGTCAGATATGCGCTCCGTTAGGGATCTTCTGTCACGGAGGAGTGAGGAAAAGGTGTCCCAGCTGGAGGTGGAGACAGAGGGGATCCCTCTACTTGTTGCTGGCCGAGTAACCCTGTCAATTTACAATAATTAAATGAAAATAGATACTATCAGTGTTATATCTAAAATTGATGATTTTACAATAACAATAAATTGACTCCGTAGTCAAATTGTAATAATCCCACAAACTCTCACCCCTCAGCAGTAGTGGTAGAAGATGAAGGAGTAGAGTCAGTAGATCTTCTGTTGAGAAGAATATTTCTGGTAGAAGAGGTTGTAGTGGAGCTCGAACTAGATGAAGAGTTGCGCAACTGTGGGAAGTTTATAGCTACCGTCTCACTGTCAGGGTAGAGGAAATCCAGGTCTATACCGTCTTCAACTCCTGGTTCACATTTATCACATTATAACATTTCGAATCCTTTTAAATTGGTCAAACACATATTTTGATATCTATATACCACCACAGCTACAGCCACAGATTTATTCAACATTTTCGACAAGAATGAACAACTCACCACTGTCAAACCAGGATACTACATCATCTCCTGACACAACGAGGGAGTCACTCCCTTCCTCCTCCCCATCATCATCATCTCTACTCAGCAAGTTGTTAACTGCTTCATTGATATCCAACCCTGTTCTCTGCAGCTCCTTTATTATGGCAGCTCGTGATTTACCCTGCAGTACCATTTGGCACTGTTGTATAGACTCTTCTGGAACCTGGAAGTTTACATTTTCATGAGGAAACTAAGAAACTTTGCGTATAGATCAAAGTTGATAGGTACGATGAAATAAAACAGCAATGTCATATTTAAATTATTTTAAAAGATAGAATTAAAGGATTTGCCCGGGTAAATACCTCTGAAGCAGGGACAGTTGGTCTGAAGGCTAACCATGACCTGCCGGCTGGTGTCCGGCCACGCACTAACGTCCCTCTCCTTCCCCGCCTTTGAGAAAACAGCCTCCTAAGTGTCCTGTTATGGGGTTAACGTTAGTTTGGTGGGAGCTAGGCTTTACATTAACGCCAACTAACGTTAAAATTAAATATTACCATCGGTGGATACGACTGATTTACATTGAGAGCTCATCTTTACTTAGTCTCTTAGTTTATATTTGCGCCCACGGATTCTAACAAACGCGACGGTTCAACTGGAGGTAAGACAATTTATTGCAAGTCATTGAAAAAGCCCTGTTGAATCAACTTGAGAATTTTTACAACAAATACTTCTGACCTTAAGTGCGAGAATGGACAGGCTTAATACGTGAATTAAATGAACTTACCTCATGCTGTGAAGTATGTTGAAATGAACTTACCTCATGCTGGGAAGTATGTTAAAATGAACTTACCTCATGCTGTAAAGTATGTTAAAATAAACTTACCTCATACTGAGAAGTATGTTAAAATGAATTTACCTCATACTGGGAAGTATGTTAAAATGAATTTACCTCATGCTGTAAAGTATGTTAAAATAAACCTACCTCATACTGAGAAGTATGTTAAAATGAACTTACCTCATACTGGGAAGTATGTTGTCTGGTGCAGCATCCCAACTGTCTGAATCTTTCTTCTGAGCCTTAGAGCTTCTCCCTTCCAACTCTGCTGTCGATGTAAACTTGCTGGCATTGCCAGAACTTGCCTCTGTCTTGACTGTGTATTTGTAGCGACAAATTCTGCCATTCGTAAGTAGAAATACTATATGAGTATTGCTGATTACGCACTGCATAACTTCTGGCAATGATCCAAATATACTGAAAAAAGATTTTTTTCATGATGGAATTTTAAAGACAATTTTACGGAGAAGTTAAGTAAAATTAATGATTTTTTTGCTTTAAATGCATTGCATTCAACACGTTTTTTGTATGAAGCTGTGGTTAAATCTCAGTAAAGGACGATAAGTAAAGATTAGATTGGATAAATGAGTTATACCTCTGTTCATCATCATTGCTGGTTGCAAGATGATCTTTCAATCTGAAAATATTGATCTTTATTATATTATACATTAAGAAGATATTATGCATAAAATATTCGGAAGCAACACTGCAATATTATTTGAGGATGCTTAATTGCTGAAGCAGGAGTGATACGAATTTTCTAAAACATTTCTTGAACTTACTTTTCAATGAAATACTTGACAGTGTTATCTGGATAAGATTGAGCAACCAAATGTACATCTCCCATTACCTTTAGAATGAGCAGTGAGTTTTGGTAACAAAGTGCTGTATTTTAACTCGTTCCACATAATAGTAAGGGGAAAAGTGGCATTCCGTTGGATTTGAATGTTCACAAGGATTTCTCAACGGAATATGGTAGTTAAGACCCCTACGAACATAATTAGACTTGTTGCCAATTTTGTATCTCAACAGAAACACCACTTTTACCACTTTTTACCACCTTTGTACCACCTGTCTGGTTTGCCAAATATCTTTAGTTGTGAACGTCGTAAAAGGCTGCAAATTAACCTAGAATGTTTATCTTATCAAGGAGTAAAACTTTTGTGTGAAAAATTTTTACATTGGACAATCAGCTAATTGGATAATTACCAATTAGTTAATCACCAAAAAAAGTGAAAATTTTTTATTGGCTCAAAATGATTGAAATCGTTTGAAACACGGAGAAATGTAGTTTTTAGAAAAACTTCAAAAATTTTTCACTTAAAAATTTTTTTCGAGGAAAAAAGTTTGAAAATTAAAAAATTTTTTTTTCCGCCAAAAGTGATCGAATTGCATGAAACGTGGATAAAAATGCTTTGCAGAAAAACTTCGAAGATTTTGAGATAGGGGAATACTAAAATCATCAATATTTGAAGTTGGAGTTCAGTAAATCTCGACATATTTTAGTAATTAGGAATAGCTTAGCGGAAAGGGCTGAACCTGAAAAAGGTTAACCACACAATATTAGAGTTTCATAACTAATTACAATACAGCTTTTATTCCACAAATTCCACATAAAGAAACAGCACAAAAGGACCATTTAAGATCGAACCGATTTTACCTGCTGTACTATCATTTTATTGATTTCAATGATCAAAACCTCTGTACCGTCAATCTTGCCAATCTATACCGGGTATCTGAATGTACCGGACCTTTTATTTACCTCTATAATTAGACCCAGTTGTGCAAGAAATGCGATTTCTCACAGGGGTTTCTTTTAACTGTGCACTTTTTGTCACTCTCGCAACTCGCAAGAGGCCCGGTATTATAGGGGGGTATAGGAAGCGAGTGTAAATATACCTTCCATCATCCACTGTGCCCCCACTGTGGCTTTTTTGTATTGTGAATGCGCATGCCGCTTCGTTTGCTATGCCAGATACCTCGAATAACCCCCATATGTCATTGCCAGGGTCGGGATAGAGCTGGAGATAGCATTGAAAAGTTGCTAGAAATAGCTAGATTTAGAGTAAACTGGTGGTAGCTGGGTGGTGCTAGCATGGATGTAGCAGAACGTAGCTACACGGGGTTTCATTGGAGTTGGTTATTTTAATGGCCAAAGAGTGCCGGAACTAAAGTTACTTAAGATTGCAGTTGAGGGGCAGTGTAAACCACGGTGTAGTCAGGGACACAGAGCTACAGTGCAGGAGTACTGCAAGTGCAAAAGAACAGTGCAAGTGATACAGTGGGGGGAATGCAACGTCAATTAATGTCAGTATTCCATAAAAACCCCAAACTGACATTGACATTAATTGACATTAATTGACATTAATTGACATTAATTGACATTAATTGACATTAATTGACATTAATATGTCTTGAAATTTGAGATTATCATTATTCGATAAATATTCAATACAAGATATTCACGTCTATCATGTAAGTTAGACCGGTTCAAAAAAACAAAATGTCCTTGAATAATTATGAGTATGTTCTTATCTGTTGATCCTTAGGTTCAAAGACCACAAAACAAATTTCAGCTTCCAACTCTTCCATCTTCGGTCCCCACCGGCCACGCCCATATTTTATTGGTTTCTTATACAGGTAAAATATCTAGAATCGGCTTTTTTAATATGAAGGAGTAATGTTAGCTGTTTAAGATTCGTTATTCAAGTATAAATGTCATGAAGGCATTTCGTTTAATGTGGGTTTTAAGTTCTGATGATGTTGAGAACCACGCCCTTGGATGGCCACGCCCATTTAAGAAAATTAAATTTCGGGAAACCGTATTATTTTAGTTTTATTGTTTAATGATCTGAATTTTTTTCACATTTCACATTTCCATATATTGTGATAGTAGTGAATAAATTGATGATATAAACGTTCTAAAGTGCTAAAAATATGGTAGAACTACATAATCTCTGGTCGAAAAATATCGTGTCAATTAATGTCAGTATTCCAAAATTTTGCAAAACTGACATTGACATTAATTGACATTAATTGACATTAATTGACATTAATTGACATTAATTGACGTTGCATTCCCCTGATACAGTATGCAACAGTAAAACGCCGAAGAAGGAGATAAGATTGTGGCTGCAGAGGAGGAGAGGAGCTGGAACCTGATTTTGTTTGGGTTGAAAGAAGAGTAGGAAGAAGAGTTTCCTGTTCTGGTAACTGCATTTTTGGAAGAGGTGGGGTGAGAACTTATTTTCAAGCGACAAGGGTGGGCTGGAAGCAACCAGGTACAGCTATCCGACCTATTAAGATCACCGTCCTGAGCTTAACAGCCTTTCATCAGAATCTGATGAAAACAGAGAGACTGACCCACCCTTTTTAGATTGATTGATCAAAGTGAGTCTCTTTAGCCCTCTTCTTCTTTAGAGCTTTAGGTTAGTGATCAAACTCTTCGCTACTCGCTCTTCACTGGATCTATCAGGACAGATTCACATCTTTTTAGGTCTCAACCAGCCTTAGTTTTCCTGTTTTCATCATGTAGTACGTTCTGCTACCTCCATTTTAGCACCACCCAGCTTCCATCAGTTCACTCTAAGTCTAGCTTCGTCGGCGTTTTACTGTTGCAGACTGTATCAATTGCACTGTTCTATTGCACTTGCAGTACTCCTGCACTGTAGCTCTGTGTCCCTGACTACACCGTGGTTTACACTGCCCCTCAACTGCAATCTTAAGTAACTTTAGTTCCGGCACTCTTTGGCCATTAAAATAACCAACTCCAATGAAACCCCGTGTAGCTACGTTCTGCTACATCCATGCTAGCACCACCCAGCTACCACCAGTTTACTCTAAATCTAGCTATTTCTAGCAACTTTTCAATGCTATCTCCAGCTCTATCCCGACCCTGGCAATGACATATGGGGGTTATTCGAGGTATCTGGCATAGCAAACGAAGCGGCATGCGCATTCACAATACAAAAAAGCCACAGTGGGGGCACAGTGGATGATGGAAGGTATATTTACACTCGCTTCCTATACCCCCCTATAATACCGGGCCTCTTGCGAGTTGCGAGAGTGACAAAAAGTGCACAGTTAAAAGAAACCCCTGTGAGAAATCGCATTTCTTGCACAACTGGGTCTAATTATAGAGGTAAATAAAAGGTCCGGTACATTCAGATACCCGGTATAGATTGGCAAGATTGACGGTACAGAGGTTTTGATCATTGAAATCAATAAAATGATAGTACAGCAGGTAAAATCGGTTCGATCTTAAATGGTCCTTTTGTGCTGTTTCTTTATGTGGAATTTGTGGAATAAAAGCTGTATTGTAATTAGTTATGAAACTCTAATATTGTGTGGTTAACCTTTTTCAGGTTCGGCCCTTTCCGCTGAGCTATTCCTAATTACTAAAATATGTCGAGATTTACTGAACTCCAACTTCAAATATTGATGATTTTAGTATTCCCCAATCTCAAAATCTTCGAAGTTTTTCTGCAAAGCATTTTTATCCACGTTTCATGCAATTCGATCACTTTTGGCGGAATAAAAATATTTTTTAATTTTCAAACTTTTTTCAGTCTCGAAAAAAATTTTTAAGTGAAAAATTTTTGAAGTTTTTCTAAAAACTACATTTCTCCGTGTTTCAAACGATTTCAATCATTTTGAGCCAATAAAAAATTTTCAAATTTTTTGGTGATTAACTAATTGGTAATTATACAATTAGCTGATTGTCCAATGTAAAAATTTTTCACACAAAAGTTTTACTCCTTGATAAGATAAACATTCTAGGTTAATTTGCAGCCTTTTACGACGTTCACAACTAAAGATATTTGGCAAACCAGACAGGTGGTACAAAGGTGGTAAAAAGTGGTAAAAGTGGTGTTTCTGTTGAGATACAAAATTGGCAACAAGTCTAATTATGTTCGTAGGGGTCTTAACTACCATATTCCGTTGAGAAATCCTTGTGAACATTCAAATCCAACGGAACCCTTAAATCGACCACTTTTCCCCTTACTATAATCACAAAACAAAATTTTCTGGTTTTCATAATCATATGATTAATAGTAGTACATTTTAATGTAGACATTCCGATCATGGCTATAGTTGTAACATGATAGCCCCCATGCAAAAGGTCATGGTCCAAATCCAATATCACTATGCAAGTTGGTCTGATGCAAGTTTGTCAGTCACTAAGCTGTGAATTCAATGAAACAAGTTCAATGAAACAAGGAATTTAATTTGAGCAAATTTCCCAGAATCAACCAATTTATAACAATGAAAAATTATCCTCATTTGGTGTATGACTTTTTGTCCTTGACTGCTTATTGGGTTGTGAAAGGATAAGCAACTAACGGGGCAAGGAATGTGTGGGCCTGTAATCTTTTGCAAACACCGAAACGCTAGTCCAGAGACTAGTACAGCTCTGGCTGGAGATGCACACTCCCTGGCTTGTAGGGGGGGGGTCCAAGAAGAACTTTGGGGAGTTTTGGGGAACTTTTTTTTGGGGAACTTCAGGAAACCTGGGGGACTTTCCCAAAGTTCCCCAAAAAATTATCAATGAAACAAATAATTTTGGGGAATTTTGGGGAACTTTTTTTTGGGGAACTTCAGAAAGTTCCCCAAAATTTCCCAAAGTTCCCCAAAGTTCCCCAAAAAAATTATCATGCCAAAAAAATTATCATGCTGCAAGTATCAACAAGTAAGTTAAGATTATACCTTATAATAACATACATGTTAACATTAATGGGTATTAATGTATATTAGAGAAATTTTGAATAATTTTGAATAATTTTGAATAATTTTGAATAATTTTGAATAATTTTGGGGAATTTTGGGGAACTTTGGGGAGTTTTGGG